GATCAAAAGAGTTACAAAACAACAATGAAACAACTAACAAAATAGCACTAGTAAGTCCTTACATATTGTATTAGTCCATTTTTGTTGCTATAACAGAATACTTGGAACTGGGTGATTTATAAAGAAAAACGACACTTATTGCTTACAGTTTCTGAGGCTGGGAAGTCCAAAGTGGATCTGGTGGTGGCGACAGTGACCCAGGGGGCTCACATTGCAAGATGGTGGAAGCAGACAGAGCAGAGAGACAGAGTCTCCCCTTCTTTTTAAAGTCCTCAGAACCACACCCTGACCACCATTTTTAATCCATTCACTACTGCATAGTCCTACAATCCAATCACCTCTTTAAGGCCCCACTCTCAATTACCATGATAGGATTTTGCCCCCTTAACAGTTTCAGTGGGGGCTAAGTTTCTAATACATAAAACTTGGGGGACACAATTTGAGCTTCAGTGAGTTTTGGGGGAACATAATTCAATCCACTACACCTATCAATAATTACTTTAAATGTAAATGAACTAAATTTTCCAATCAAAAGGCATAGAGTGGCTGAATGGGAGAAAGAAACAAGACCCAACTTTATGCTGCCTCTTAAAGAACATTCATAGACTGAAAGTGAAGGGATGGAAAAAGACATTCCATGCAAAAGAAAACAAAAAGAGAGCAATGGTAGCTATGCTTATTTCAGACAAAATAAACTTTAGGGCAAAAACTATAAAAAGAGATGAAAAAGGTCATTATAATAGTGATAAAAAAGGTAAATCTTTAAGAAGATATAATAATTGTAATTATATGCACCCAACATTGGAGCACCTAAATATATAAAGCTAACATTAAGATATCTGAAGAGAGACATGGACTGCAACACCATAATAACAGGGGATCTTACTACTCCACTTTCAACACTGGACAGATCATCTAGACAGAAAATCAGTAAGAAAACAATGAACTTAAACTACACTTTATACCAAATGGCCCTAAGAAACATATACAGATCATTCCACCCAACAGAAACAGAATACACATTCTTAAGTAAACACAGAACATTCTCCAGGACAGATCATATATTAGATCACAAAACAAGTCTTAACAAATTTAAGATGCCTGATATCATATTAAGTAACTTTTCCAACTACAATGATATGAAACTAGAAATCAATAACAGGAGGAATCATGGAAAATTAACAAATATGTGGCAATTAAACAATACACTCCTGAACAGCTATTTAAAAAGAAATTAAAGGCAAAATTAAAAATTATCTTCAGACAAACAAAAAGACAACATACCAAAACTTACAAGAAGCAGCAAAGCAGTTCTAAGAGAGAAGTTTACAGCAATAAACACCTACATCGAATAAGAAGAAAGATCTTAAATACGTAACCTAATGTTATACCTCAAGGTACTAGGAAAAACTCTCAACAAATTAGGTGAAGAAAGACTGTTCCTCAACACAATAAAGGTCATATATGACAAGCTCATAGCTAACATCATACTCAATGGTAAAAAGTTGAAGGCTTTTCCTCTGAGATCAGGATCAAGAGAAGGATGCCTGCTCTTATCCCTTCTGTTTAACTAGTACTGAAAGTCCTAGCCAGAGCAATTAGGCAAGAGAAAGGAACTAAAGGAACCCAAATAGAAAAGGATTAAGTGAAATTGTCTGTTTTCTGACAACATGATCTTACGCATAAAAAAAAAAATCCTAAAGGCTCTACCAAAACACTGCTAGAACTCACAAATTCAGTAAAGGTGCATGATATAAAACCAACTTACAAAAATCAGTGGCATTTCTATACACTAACACTAAACTGTCTGAAAAAGAAAAGAAAAAAACCATCCCACTTATAATAGCATTTTTTTTTAAAAACTTAGAACTAAATTTAATCAAGGAAATGAAAGATATATATGCTGAAAACTACACAACACTGATAAAAGAAATCAAAGGTGATGCAAATAAATAAAAAGATATCCTGTGTTCATAAATTGGAAGAATTAACATTGTTAAGATGTCCATACTATCCAAAGTGATCTACAGTTTTAATGCAATCCCTATCAAAATTCCAATGACACTCTTTGTAGAAACAAAAAATAACCTTAAAATTCGTATGCCAAAGCAATCTTGAGTAAAAAGAACAAAGATGGAGGCATCACACTACAAGATACCAAAACATATTACAAAGCTATAGTCATCAAAACAGCATGGGACTGGCATAAAAACAGACATATCAGCCAATGGAATAGAATAGGGAGCCCAAAAATAAATCCACACATCTACAAGTAACTGATTTTTGACAGAGGTGTGAAGAACACATGGTAGGGACAAGACAGTCTCTTCAACAAATGGTGCTGGGAAAACTGGATACCCACATACAGAAGAATGAAAGTAGACCCTTATCTCACCCTTATACAAGAATCAACTCAAAACAGATTGAAGACTTAAACATAAGACCTGAAACTATAAAACTACTAGAAGAAAAAACAAACATAGTGGCAAAAGATCCATGAGACTGGTCTGAGGAAATATTTCTTGAATATGAACCCAAATGCACAGGCAACAAAAGCAGAAACAGACAAATGAGATTGCATCAAGCTAGAAAGCTTCCTCACAGCAATGGAAACAATACAATGAAGCAACAACACACAAATTGGGAGAAAATATTTACAAATCATACATCAGATAAAGGGCTAAACCCAAAATATACAAGGAACTCAAACTACTCAAGAACAAGAAAACAAATAATTCTATGAAAAACTGGGCAAAGGACTTGGATAGACATTTTTCAAAAGACATACAAATGGCCAACAGATACATAAAAAAATGCTCAATACCTTTAATCATCAGAGAAATGCAAATTAAAACCACAATGAGATATCAACACACCTGTTAGATTGGCTATTATCAAAAGATGAAAGATGACAAATGTTGGCAAGAGTGTGGAGAAAAAGGAAACTTCATATGAGAACCTCATACATTGTTGGGGGTATTGTAAATGAGTATTGGCATTTTGGAAAACAGAATGGGGGTTCTTCAGAAAACTAAAATTAGAATTACAATATGATCCAGCAATCCCACTAGCAGTATATGCCCAAAGGAACTGAAACCAGCATACCAAAGAGATGTCTACATTCCCATGTTTATTGTAGCATTGTTCACAATAGCCAAGATATGTAAACAACTTAAGCATCCATCAATGGATCAATTGATTTTTAAAATGCAGTATACATACAAAATGTAATAGTGTTTAACCTTAAAAGAAAAAAAGCTAGGAAATTATGTCATTTGCTACAACATGTATAAAACTAGATGACATAATGTTAAGTGAAATAAGTTAGGCACAGAGAGACAAATACCATATGATCTCACTTATACTCATATGGAATCTGAAAGAGTCTCACTCATAGAAGTAGAGAGTAGAACAGTGGAGGAGGGGCAGGGAAAGGAGAGATGTTGGTCAATAGGTACAAAGTTACAGTTAGGAGGAATAAGTTGGTGTTGTATTGCACAGCAAGGTGACTATCTAATAATGATGTACTATGTATTTTAAAATAGCTTCAAAAAAAGAGGGCTTTAAATGTTCTCACCACAAAAAAATAAATATTTGAGGAAATGAACATACTAATTATCCTGATTTGATCATTCCACACTGTATGCACGTATTAAAACATCACATTGTACCCCACAAATATATGAAATTATTATTTGTTAATTAAAAATAAACACACAAAAAAATAAATATTTGAGGAAATGAACATACTAATTATCCTGATTTGATCATTCCACAATGTATGCACGTATTAAAACATCACATTGTACCCCACAAATATATGAAATTATTATTTGTTAATTAAAAATAAACAAAAAAAAAGTGAGGGTGAAATCACCAGATGATAGCAAATTTACAGTATCTCACACCATGGACACCATATCAGGTCAAGCTCCTTATACTTTATAGCCCTGTCCTCCTATAGACATTAGACAGAACGCTTTCAAATGCCAGGACCTCTCCCTTATTGGGGGAGTCTCGGGAATGCTCGCACCCTCTTCCCTGCCCTCCAGTCCCAGCCTTCCCCTCTCTCACCCCAGGGACCAACTGAAATAACATCATTAAGATTTCATCCCCTAAACTGGATCTCCAGGTCTTGACTTGGCCCAGACCATTGCTCTCACCACGAAGACTTCTCAAGCGCAACTCCTTCTCCAAAACTACACACCTTCTCCTTCAGCTGAGGAAGGCCTCCACTCTGGCACATCTCAGAGTCACTATGTCCAAAATCCAACTTCTGATCCTCCTAAAACCTGCTCCCCGCTCTGACTTTCCGATTTCTATCTTCAAGGTGTTTGTGGGGGACGGGGGGGTGGGGGGGGGAACAACAACCTTGGTCTTCCATTCCTTGCTCTTAATCACAGCAGCCCCTTTGATGCACCAGGAAATCCTGTTGGTTCTATCTTTAAAATCTACCCAGAATCTGATCGTTTTTTCCCATTCTCCTACCATTTTCTCTGGTACATCCACCACCAAAGCATTCCTAGAGTCCACTGCAACAGCGTCTTTACTAGTCTTCTTGCATCCATCCTTACCATCCGCATTCCAAACTAATGCGTTCTCCTCTGAGCAAAGCTGCCGCCAGAGGAAATTATGGGATGCTTTTAAAATCCCAACTTAGCTCCCAAAGTCCGCAGAATGAAGGTGCACTCCTTAGCGTGCCATTTCGGGCATAACTCCTAAAACTCTGCTGGGTGCTCATGTTATGATAAAGAACCCGGTATCTCCCGAATGCTCTTGGCTCAGTCGCACCTCCAAGCCTTTACCATTGCAGTCCCCTCTTTTCTGTCACACTCTCCCACAGCCCATCACACTGGCTGTCAGAAATATAAATCCCACCCATGAGTGCATCAATGTCCCGGACACTCACTGGGGTGACAGGAACTTGAGCCCTTATTCTGGGCTTTAGGATTTGTACTTAGGGGCAAGGGTGGCTGAGGGTCGGAGGACGCAGCACCCACCTGCGCCGGGTCCATCCGCTCAGCGGCGGCCAACGGACTATGTGGGCGGAGAGTGGCCGAGGGCGGCGGGCGTCTAGGTCGGGGACGCAGACACTTCCGTTCCCACTGATCCTGGGACGCACCTCTATGCAGAGAAGACATCTCCTCCAAGCTTTCGCGGTTCTTCCACCGTGGGGGAACCCAGCGTTCCGGAGCTCCTACTTGGTAAAACCTCACGAGAACAAACAAAATGTCTGGGGCGAGAAGGCTGGCGGAAGTCCCGCCCAGATGTCTTTGGCTCGTACAAAAATGCACCACTCCTGTGGCCTCATTGCTTTCTGGGTAATGTAGTTCCCACTGAGCCATCGTCCAAGGAGAGGGGCTGTCGGCCTGGGCTTTTGCGAAACATTGGGAAATGGTAACCCAAGTGTTAGAGGACTTGCAGGACTTCGTTCCTCTTAAAGGGCCCGCACTTAGATTCCGTGAAGTTCAGTCTGCACGTATTGCAGAAATGTTTAGAGACATTTCAGATATTCCCCAAAGTCACAAAATCAAATGGACACACACACTGCAGTGTCCCTCTGCATCGACTTATAGCTGTTAGCTAATAACTATTACCTTGTTGCTTTTTAAATACGTGTACACCGAAGCTTTAGCATCAGTTTTGTTTCAGTTTGGTTGGGGACAAAAGAGAAAAGGCTCCAAAGGCCATGGAGTGGAAGAAAAAAGGGGGGTGTTGAGTTGCCCTGAAACCAGTGAACAGATTTCCTCAGATAACATTTATCCACCCCAGCAAGTGACACTGTTTTTTCTAGATAATATTTCTTACTTCATATTTCTATCCATATAGATTTACTTTTAAGAATCTGAGACATTTCATTCGCAGAAACATAGATGAGCTTGGAGGATATTATGTTAAGGGAAATAAGCCAGGCAGAGAAAAAGAATACAGCATGTTCTCACTCATATGTGGAAGCTGAGATAGTTGATACCATAAAAATGGAAAAATAGAATAATGGTTATTAGAGGCTGGGAAAGTAGGAGGGAGAGAGGGATAGCAGGAGGTTGGTTAAAAGATACAAAATTGGAGAATAGGAGAAATAAGATCTAATGTTCCATAGCACTGTAGGGTAACTATAACAAATTATTGTATATTTCAGTTAGCTGGAAGAGAGTTTTTTTTTTTTTTACTCTTTATTTTGTCAATATACAGTGTAGTTAATTATTATGTCCCATCGCCAAAACCTCCCTCCCTCCTCCCTCTCCCCCCTCCCACCCAAGCATGTCCTTTCCATTTGCTTGTTGTAAGAACTTCAAAAAAATTGTAGTTGTGGGGCTGGCCTGGTGGCGCACTGCTATAGTGCGCCGCTTGGGAAGCGTGGCGGCGCTCCTGCTGAGGGTTCGGATCCCACATACAGACCGGTTCCCGCTCACTGGCTGAGCGAGGCACGGGAGCAGCACCGAGGGTTGCGATCCCGTTGCCGGTCCCGGTCCGGTACGGGGGCGACACTGAGGGTTGCGATCCGTCTCCTGTGGCCTCATTGCTTTCTGG